TAGGTCAACAGTAATGACTGACATATTGTTATTAGCACAATTTTCATTTATATATACCAAAAACACCTGAAAAATATTAACCAGTATTTCATCTTTAAAGTTATTTGGCAGTTATTAGGTCATATTTGGTTTGTTTCACATCATATCTGGTTAGTTAATGAAATAATTGTTCAGATGACCCAGTTTGAATTTGCTGGGTGTGTTTAAAGATGGCCTGTGGAATGAAGGTTAGATTGTTTTTTTCCAGGGAACATGCTGCATTAACTTCACAGACCTATTAGTAAAAAGGTCATATTTGGGAGGCCAAGGTGTATTGAAGATACTGCCATTTGCAAGGCTATTCTGCTTACAGAAGCCCTTAATGGCCACCAGCAATGTTTAATAGAGCTGAAAGAATCTTTGGCTATTTGTACATGTGTCATTTATTTTCTCTTTGACCTCAGTTTTTATATATTTTCTATGTTAGTTTACTGATATTTCAATGTTGCTTTTTGTAGTGCAACTTCACACATTTTTGACGTGTGTTTCATGTTTTCTTTGTAGGAGAAGGAAACTGGATTTTATACAAAAACTCACCAAAAAATAATGTACATTCAGTTTATATGCACTCCCATTGAAGTCTATGAGGCAAAAAATGCATTGCAACTGTAGCACCTGAACATTTTAAAAAATGTGCAGCAGCTGTACTGCATTGATGTAAACAGGCAACATAATGTAATTTCCATTGTCGTGTGAAATTGTCATGAAAAGCATAGAAAAAAATGCACTAGTGTGAATGGGGGCTTAAAGTTAGTATACATCATCATGCATTTGCTTCTTATAAATTGCAGGTAATATGCATTGTACATAGAAGGATAAAGTTCTTAGCCGTATGAATGTATTAACATTACGCTATTACACATGCTACTTGTGAGAATGAGACCAGAACTCAAAAAAGGATCCATAAAGGTTTGTGTTTCTATGAAATCTACAGAAGCATGTAGATTGTTTTGCTTCAGATTTTTGTGGGTTTTTTTTAGTTCAATGTATGTACTTCAGATGTACTGCTACAGGGTGTCACGGCTGGGCAAAATCACATATATATACACATGAGATTTGCATTTCCGGGTAGGGGGCGTGCACGCATCGCCCCCTACCTGTGCCACTATTAGCGGCTGGGGATATCAATCACCGGGTCCCCGCCAGCGATTTCTGGCCAGCACTTGGTGATTGTTGGAAAGCTGACAGGAGAGAAACCTGCGTATAAACAACAGGTCTCTCTGCTGTCAGCATGGACATGCTGCTTTGTATCTCTCTGCACAGCATGTAAAACACACACAGCTCACAGTTAACCCTTTGATCACCCCAGATGTTAACCCCTTCCTGCCCAGTGTCAGTGCTTTCTATTAGCACTGATCACTGTACTAGTGTCACTGGGGATGTCAGTGTCAGAATGTCCACCGCAGTCCTGCTATAAGTCACTGATCATCGCCGTCGCCAAAAAGTATAAAAAATTAAAAATGAAAATTCCAGTATATATACTGCCATTTGTAGATGCTATAACTTTCATGCAAACCAATATACACTTATTAAGATTTTATTTTTAGCAAAGACATGTAGCAGAACACATTTTGACCTAAATCTATGAAGAAATTTGATTTTTAAATTTTTTTAATGGATATGTTTTATAACAAAAAGTCAAAAATATAGTTTTTTGTTTTCCTAAATTGTTGGTCTTTTTTTGTTTATAGCGCAAAAAAAAAAAACCGCAGAGGTGATCAAAAACCACCAAAAAAAAAGCTCAGTTTGTGGGAAAAATGACAGATATCATTTATATACCACTCAATTTTCAGTTAAAGTAACGCAGCACCGTATCAGAAAAAATGGCCTGGCCAGGAACGAGGGTAAATCCTCTGGAAGGCAAGTGGTTAAAGCATTTTTCATTGAATCATAACTTTAGTTACTATGCAGTTCCAACAGTCTGACAAAAAAATGCATTTGCTTTAATGAACAATATGGGTAATGCACATAGGGGCTCATTTATAGAGCATCGATATGGCCCTATGACAGCCATTCTACTGATCAAACAATGTAAAAAACTGGCACATCAGGTATGCATTACAATTATGCCCTCTACTTTGTTGCTCTGGGACTACAGCAAAGACCCTATCATTTTAATAATTAGGAAGGGAGGGGGGGTATCAGGAGAAGGCCAGCTTAGTCATATGACCTGTCAAAAACATATTACTAAATTCTCCTTCTATCATGCCATGTTCTCTACAGAGTTATCCAAAGAACAAGTTGTCTGTTATAAATAGCCTCTATAACTTAGTGTGCTGTAAATTAAGTCATGTGTAGCTCATTTGAATAAGGTCTAACATTGCATTAAGAAATAAGTCAAAGCATCAAGTAATTGATAAATGGTAAGTTGGTAAGTAGACAGAACTATGGCATGCATAGTAACAAAGCACAAAGCTGTATAAATAATAATAACAACTTACTATGTTGTAAATGTGATGAGGAAATCCTGCAGTTATCTACAAAACTGGCATTGTGAGCACTTGGATAACACTCAACAGTGCAGCAAAATGAAAGACGTTTTTTTTTTTTCTCTTTAATGACGTCTTAGGAATGCTTTTGTGAAAGGATCCTGAACAATGTCCCAATATAATAGGTCACTCTACAGCCAGAGGGAAACGGAATGAGTTTTTAAAATGCTATACCAGGGCAGGGTAAAATGCTTATAGGAAATAAATGCCTTCTGTAAAGATCAGCTGAGAAAACAGGACTTACTCAAGCATATATATGTAAAGTCTGGGTGGACTTTTAAAAGTGACCTCAGGGCCTACAATGATTTCTCATTTCCATATCCTTTGTCATTACAAACAGAAAATGAAGGCTTCACATACTGATCATGCACAATGAGATTGGAACAAATAATGTTTCAGTATGAATTCAGCTGGCCATAGATGGGTAGAGTTTCAAATTAAAATGTTTAGGATAAAAGTGTTCTAAGAAAGTTTGTGTGTTTCTGTAATCATTAGAGGGTCAAATCAACCTTCGTTTTTGACCGCAGTGACAAGAAATTTGAAGGAGCAGGATGGAAAAAATTCCTTGAACAAACGCATTTCTAACACCATTTCGTTTGGTAAAATCCATTCATTCAAAGTCAAATGTTAAAAGCAAAAAACTTTTTCGAATGACATTTGAATGTCATTTCCCTAAGAATTTTAGTTCGAAATCCTATCCATCTATGGCCAGTTTTACTCTTACTTGTTGCTCTTATTGGATAACAGCATAATCTTAGATTGTAAGCTCCAAGGAGCAGGGCCCTCCTAACCCTCTTGTATTGAACTGTATTGTTGCTGTATTATCTCTTGTTATATTATAAAGTGCTGAGCAAACTGTTGGCGCTGTATCAGGGGTGGACTGACAACTCATGGGGCCCCCGGGCAATAGGGGATCATGGGGCCCCTGTGTTTTCACCCTCATTTAAACCACACCCAAAAAAGCCTATGAAAGGTACCAGGGGCATCTCATGGGGCCCCTTACTGACCCTGGGCCCTCGGGCAGTGCCCAAGTTTCCAAATGGTCAGTCCGCCCCTGCGCTGTATAGATCCTGTATAATAATATAATAATAATAATTTCTTACAGCAAAATACTTGTCAGTTGGTTATTATGTAAATTTTCTGCTGTAAGGCTCATGTACATGGGACACTTCTGAATAATGGAAACTGACTGCTGGCAAATATAGGTTAAAAAAGTCTGTTTAGCCGTGTTTGCCTACCGCGTTTATGCGTGTCTATGAGCGTTCGCGTTTAGAAGCGCTTTTTAAAGATAACCGCAGGAGACCTTCCAAAATGCCCAGAATGCACTGAAAAACAGTAAAAAATTACCTATTTGAGACATTTTGAGAGAAAGGAGCAGAGAGAACAGAATTTGTTGAGATTAGCTGTCTTTTTTTTTTTGTGGTGTTTGGATGTGTTCCAGCTCATTTCTGTGCAGAAATTATTGCAGCAGTGTCTAACATATTTTCTTTCATGCGAAACCTCAAAGTATGGTGTACCAGGTCCATTTGAGCACCGGGAAAACGCTTTGCATGCATTTTTCATAATGAAAATTCCACTCAGGCTCTGGACAGCATCTGGAAATGGAAGAGGCAAAAAAATTTTCCAAGCGCATACGTTTATAAACAGTTAGCTGCGTTTACATGCGTTTACAAGCATTTGAAATGCTGATAAAATCTACTCCTGAACACGAGTTTTGTGCGTTCAAAAAAAGACTGTAAACTCAACTGCCTGGAAACGACTGTAAACGACGATGTGTACATGGACACATAGGAAACATTAGGGAGAGTTCAGGGGCTGCTGAAAAAAAACATAAAAAAGCTCCTAAACCTGAGTTTATCAGCTGCAGTGTAAAACCAATGCTAATCATTAAACTTACAAATAAAAATTGCCTGCTTTCTTCTTCTGTTGAGCCTGCCTACAATAAGAACGAGTCATTTCTGGAAGAATGTTTTTTCTGTGTCATGGGCTCTCTGCCTTGCAGGCTATTTAGCCCCACATTCCGCCATTCTTATCAGTCAATTAGCCTATATGCTGTGGATAAGATGACAGTGGAAGTGTTTGATTCTTTCAGCAAAAGACAACAAACAGGGCTGACACCACTTAGTCCACAAATATGCTGTGCATTGTCAACCCACAATAAGAACTCAAAATCTGGGTGCATTTCTGACAGGTCGTTGATATTTTTCTGTATTTGCAGGGTCTTTAACCAGCTGCCGACCGCAGATAGCCGAATGACAGCTTCACTGCGGCCGGCCAGTTCTGGGTGGACGTCATATGACGTCCTCCCAGAACGCGCTCTCCTGCGCGCCCCAGGGGGCGCGCACCCGGCGATCTCCGTGATCGCTGTGTCCTACGGACACAGCTGATCACGTGTGATGTGGTAAAAGGCCAATCACAGCGGCCTTTTACCACGTGATCAGCGGTGTCCAATGACACGCTGATCAGAGGGAAATGCAAGTGCCGGTTCTCGGCTGCACTTTCCTCACGCTGTCAGATCGTGAGGAAAGTACTGCCGAGAACCGGCAGTTGTCAGAGCGGGGATCAGCACCGATCATCAGGGCACTGATGAACAGTGCCCTGATGATCGATGCCCAGCAGTGACACCCGCAAGTTCCGCCCAGCAGTGCGCCCACTAGCTCCGCCCACCCGTGCCCAGCAGTGCACCCACCTGTGCCCAGCAGTGCACCCACCTGTGCCCAGCAGTGCACCCACCTGTGCCACTCTGCAGTGCCACCTACCTGTGCCCAGCAGTGCCACCCACATGTGCCCACCCACCCACCTGTGCCCACCCACCTGTGCCCACCAGTGCCACCCACCTGTGCCCACCCACCAGTGCTGCCCACCAGTGCAGCCCAGCAGTGCTGCCAGTCAGTTCCCAGGGGTTGTGCCAGTCAGTGCCACCAGTCAGTGCCCAGCAGTGATGCCAGTCAATGCCGTCTATCAGTACCCATAATCAGTGTCACCTATCAGTGCCGCCGATCAGTGCTGCATATTAGTGCCGCCTATCCGTGACCCCTAATTAGTGCTGTCTATCAGTGCTGCCTATCTGTGCCACCTCATTAGTACTGCCTATCACTGCCCTTTAGTGCTGCCTATCAGTGCCCATCAGTGCCGCCTATCAGTGCCCATCAGTGCTGCCTCATCAACGCACATCAATGAAGGAGAAAAAATACCTGTTTGAAAAATGTTATAAAAGAAACAAATAAAAATTTTTTTTTCTTCAAATTTTTTGCACTTTTTTTATTTATAGCACAAAAAGTAAAGCGCACAGTGGCGATTAAATACCACCAAAAGAAAGCTCTATTTGTGAGAAAAAAATGATCAAAATTTCATATGGGTACAATGTTGCATGACCGTGCAATTGTCAATCAAAGTGCGGCAGCGCTGAAAGCTGAAAATTGGCCTGGTAAAGAAGGGGGTATAAGTGCCTGGTAGGCAAGTGGTTAAAGGGGCAAAACATGGGTAAAGGAGCATGTTTTCACAAGATGAACTTCATATTTATTTTCCCTCTCTCTCAGACCCATCTGCCAGCATTTTCATACCGTATTTGGGGTGAGACTAGACGCAAAAACAGTACGTGATATATAAACTTAGTTGATTGTATAAACTGACATACTTAAAAATGAGATACAGAAACAGAAAAAAAAGATGATAATAAAAAGTTTCCTTAAATTCTAATTTCATTTTATAGATGGGGGGGGGGAATGGTATCCAGAGGATAGTTTTTCTCGTGACCAGGGTTCAGTTTTAAGCATACTTGCCATGATCTAAACAATTATTAACTCCTGTGTGTATCTTTACGTATCATTTGTGTTTATTCATATCAAAACCAGAAGTTAATTTTGTTTTCATGTGTTTACCTGTCTAATCTTGCTATGTTTATAAAAAAAGCAAAGTTCATAGTTCACGCTCAAAAATGTATGCAAAGCATATCCTTATTTTATACAACTTCTACTACCTAGGAAAAAAAATAAAATAAAAAAAAATAATAAAAAAAATAAAATACAATTACATATATATATATATATATATATATATATATATATATATATTATATATATACAGTCAGGTCCATAAATATTGGGACATCAGCACAATTCTAACATTTTTGGCTCTATACACCACCACAATGGATTTGAAATGAAACAAACAAGATGTGCTTTAACTGCAGACTGTCAGCTTTAATTTGAGGGTATTTACATCCAAATCAGGTCAACGGTGTAGGAATTACAACAGTTTGCATATGTGCCTCCCACTTGTTAAGGGACCAAAAGTAATGGAACAATTGGCTTGTTAGCTGTTCCATGGCCAGGTGTGTGTTATTCCCTCATTATCCCAATTACAATGAGCAGATAAAAGGTCCAGAGTTCATTTCAAGTGTGCTATTTGCATTTGGAATCTGTTGCTGTCAACTCTCAAGATGAGATCCAAAGAGCTGTCACTATCAGTGAAGCAAGCCATCATTAGGCTGAAAAAACAAAACAAACAAAACAAGACCACGGAAAACAACTGTGGTGGATGACCGAAGAATTCTTTCCCTGGTGAAGAAAACACCCTTCACAACAGTTGGCCAGAACAAGAACACTCTCCAGGAGGTAGGTGTATGTGTGTCAAAGTCAACAATCAAGAGAAGACTTCACCAGAGTGAATACAGAGGGTTCACCACAAGATGTAAACCATTGGTGAGCCTCAAACACAGGAAGGCCAGATTAGAGTTTGCCAAACGACATCTAAAAAAGCCTTCACAGTTCTGGAACAACATCCTATGGACAGATGAGACCAAGATCAACTTGTACCAGAGTGATGGGAAGAGAAGAGTATGGAGAAGGAAAGGAACTGCTCATGATCCTAAGCATACCGCCTCATCAGTGAAGCATGGTGGTGGTAGTGTCATGGTGTGGGCATGTATGGCTGCCAATGGAACTGGTTATCTTGTATTTATTGATGATGTGACTGCTGACAAAAGCAGCAGGATGAATTCTGAAGTGTTTCGGACAATATTATCTGGTCATATTCAGCCAAATGCTTCAGAACTCATTGGACGCCGCTTCACAGTGCAGATGGACAATGACCCAAAGCATACTGCAAAAGCAACCAAAGAGTTTTTTAAGGGAAAGAAGTGGAATGTTATGCAATGCAAGTCAATCACCTGACCTGAATCCGATTGAGCATGCATTTCACTTGCTGAAGGCAAAAGTGAAGGGAAAATGCCCCAAGAACAAGCAGGAACTGAAGACAGTTGCAGTAGAGGCCTGGCAGAGCATCACCAGGGATGAAACCCAGCGTCTGGTGATGTCTATGTATTCCAGACTTCAGGCTGTAATTGACTGCAAAGGATTTGCAACCAAGTATTAAAAAGTACAAGTTTGATTTATGATTATTATTCTGCCCCATTACTTTTGGTCCCTTAACAAGTGGGAGGCACATATGCAAACTGTTGTAATTCCTACACCGTTCACCTGATTTGGATGTAAATACCCTCAAATTAAAGCTGACAGTCTGCAGTTAAAGCACATCTTGTTCGTTTCATTTCAAATCCATTGTGGTGGTGTATAGAGCCAAAAACCTTTTTGACTAGTAATATGGCCAAGGGAATGTCTGGCCAGGGGTAAACCTGGTGCTACTTTTAACAGTCCTTAATACTTATTCATTAAGGTCCTACCTGTCTTAGCAAATATGCAAATTACAGTAACCCTGACAACCAATCAAGTTTAATTGTTTTTGACAGAGGAATGGTGATAGCTGGTTAATAAGAACACTTTGCACATCACTGCTCTTTGCATCACCAAAGCTAATCAGATGCAATATTCTTTTTTGGGCTTTCAGGGAAAACCACCTTACTTTTGAGATGCACATAAAATGCTTTTCTTTCTATTTCCGTTGACATGCATGTAGTCTCTGCTTACAAAACTCCAGTGAACAGGATGCCCAGCAACAACAGAAATAAACACAAATGCAATCCAGTTCATTATTGCATCTGCAATATATGCAGAAAGCAAAATCATAAGCCATTAGACACACCTAACATTTCTGAACAAATACATGCATTGATTATTTTGCTTCTATGGGATAAGAAAAATCAAGAAATTATCTTTAAATGTATTTCTAAGCAGTCTAAAACAGTCCCACCAAAGCCAATATATTGAAAACACCAAAATGGGGAAATAGCCTAGTTATACACTGGAATTTATTTATTTATTAAAGGAACTTATATAGCGCCGCAATTTACACAGCACTTTACATATATATTGTACATTCACGTCAGTCCCTAACCCTCAAGGGGTGTACAATCTAAGGTCCCTAACTCACATTCATATACAAGGGTCAATTTAGATAGGATCCAGTTAACCTACCAGCATGTCTTTGGAGTGTGGGAGGAAACCGGAGTACCTGGAGAAAACCCACGCAGGCACAGGGAGAACATGCAAACTCCAGGCAGGAGGTGCCATGGCTGGGATTCAAACCATTGACCCTAGTACTGCCAGGCGGAAGTAATAACCATTTAGCCACTGTGCTATATTGTAAACCCATCAATATTGCAAGCCTAAATAATAGCTTACTGTAAAATTGTACATAATACAAAAAAAAATACACAAAAATAAATGTGTTGATCAAACTTTCTAAAAAAGAAAACATATGGAAAAGATGCCTGTCATTGGATGTGTTCCTACTGCAAAAATCCAGGAATGCAAAATCCAGATTGATTGCATTGCAAATATTGAATTTCTCAATGTCTTGGCAGCATGTTTTCCATATTCAAATTTAGTGCATTGCAAATACTGAATTTTTCAATGCCTTGGTAGTATGTTTTACACATCCCAATTGAGTGCATTGCAAATACTGAATTTTTCAATGCCTTGGCAGTATGTTTTACACATCCAAATTGAGTGCATTGCAAATACTGAATTTTTAAATGCCTTGGCAGTATGTTTTCCACATTTTAATACTTAAATTGAAAGTAAAAATCATAAAAAAGGGGTTATCATAAATGTAAAAATTCTCAATAAAGCACGTTTAACAGTGTTGGGTTGCAAAACCAAGATAAAGCTTGTTACTTACACAACCAGAAAAGAGGTACCACAGGCAGGCAACTGATCCTCAGCTTATCTTTCCCACAGACAACTAATACCAAAAGTGATTGTTAAAAGGCCTTTTAGATAACTTGCAAAACCAGGTTGATTTCTATGTAAATGCAAAGGATACAAAACCCACCCCCACAAAACTATCCTCAGCTTGCAGACAAGCCACAGAATGGATGTCTCAGCAAGTGCTAAACAAAGAAATGTATTCTAATGATGGAGAAGCAATCTATACCTTGGAATGATTATAGGCACAACAGCTTTACAAACATGTATATGTTCGATTTCCTTATATTTTATTGGTTGTGGAGAACAAGTGCATATCATGGTAAAGTTAAATTAACGACAGAATTGTTTTTTTTTTCAATTTGAAAAGAGGGTTAGAATCACTGTCTCTCTCCAACTGCCTTGATCCCCAGTGCTACCAGGAATTAAACTGAAGGCGAATCCATAATTCTGAGTTGCCACCGGAACAGGAATATCAGAGGAAATCTTCTATTGGGGACACATGTTCCTCTGACAACCATCCAAGATGGGGTTTCGCTGACGTTGGGAATATATCCTCTCAATTCATGTTGAATCTGCAGGACTGAAAGTAAAGGGAAATCTCCCTGATAAGACACAGATGGCCAAAAAACAAAAACCATTTTGACCTTTGCCTATTCTATCCGAAATGTTGAAACTTTGGATATACTTTAATTCCTTTTTTAGGTTTTAGTATAATTTCCTGTATGCAGTGCAACTTGCAATCCATAGTTGATTTTTCAGTTTTAGATTGTATTGGGAAGCAATAGAACCTCTGTCTGGCTTTTATTGCTCTACCCCATTAAGTAGACTTCTCCTTCACCTAGTAAAACTACAAAAAGCAATGAATGAGATCAACTTGCACATTGATATTTGACATATTGTGCAAGTAAATAATTTTAGTATAATATTTAAACAATTTAAACTCAGCATTAAAAAATGCTAATCTAATATTTTTAGATGGAAATTAACTGGAGAAAACATTTGCATGTCTCTTAACTTTTTTTTTCCAGTTATAATTCTTGCTATTGATTTTCCAGGCAAAAATAATATGGGTTGTCTAGGTAGACATAGATATATGCAGGATTAGGATCATTGATGTACACATTAGGCTACGATTGTGGGTAAAACTTTATTGACTAGAATTCAATGGACAGCCTGCCGGGGCCCCTCCCTCTGACATGTTCATTCTGCAATGGAGCCTAATCATAGAGTAGAAAGAGACAAAGAGAAGAGGAACTTTATATACAAATTGATTAAATAAATTAAAAATAAATGTTACACTTTCAATTTCTTACTATCTTGCTATCAAACATTCTACACAAAACCCTTCCACAATGATATATTCACATATAAATAATTATCCAATATTAGTGGTCTATTGTTTTCACCCAACTTTCACCAAGGATTCACACATTTTTCCAAATAAATCAATTGGAAATATTGTTGAATCTTGTGTGAAAACTTGTATAAATAAACCCCTAAGTAACTAAATAAGGCACGCAGTACTGTATAATAATTTATATGTCACTTACATTTCCTCCATTAAAATCATTGACGGCTTTAGAAAAATACAGTATATGTATGTAAAAACCTCAAGTTTTAAAAAACTATATTAGGTATATCTCCTTAATCTTTTATATATGTTCTTCCTATTCCACTCAGCAACAAATACTTACATCTGCAAAAGCAATAATTCACATTTCATTGCATCTTGCAAAAAAGGTAGCGAGGTGCTTAAGATGAATTTTAGGTGTTATACCTAATTCATGTTCAGTGGAATTGAATAAGAATGACATACTGTATATAAAAATTATTTTAGAGGCAAATAGTGTGCAGCATAACACTGTAGTACCCGGATAACAAACAAAATATATGTTGCAATGGCATGAAGTTACACACAATGAATAGATATTAACTCCAGAGACATACTTCACCTTCTTGGCTGTAATGTCCTCAGATGATGACTAAATGATTTTTTTAGGGAGTCCTAGAAACTATTTCTAGTTTTATTGTTGTAGGATTAAACTCTTTCTTGCCAGTAAATAACCAATAAAAAGCAGACGTTTGTATTAATCATTTATATGTCCTCCAATAGTATTGCTTCCTATTACTGTTCTGATCTTTGTTCTTTGACTTCAACACCTTGTATACTTACACCTCTTAGGAACTGTTAAATAAGGAAACTGAGACACTGTAGACTTTGATCCTTGGTGGTCAACAACACTAGTGACTGAACACACTTTTATCTTGCTTACTTGTTTTAGGGATTTTCTACTCTACACAAGACCTGTCCCTGGATGATCTTGGGTACTGAAATATGTTCCTCTGAAAAAGCCATATGGTTTGCATGGACCTGCAATTGTCAAAATCCATAAAATCAGTTCACATCGCTCAGGTGACTATCACAGGATACCTTAGATTTTAGTATTGGAAAATGAGAATGAGGATGTCAGTGGGATAATGCAAAAAGTCTATTAAATGGCAGTTTAGAAATTATCAGATGATAACCTATTGTATCCACATTCAATGATTACAGCAACAATGGAGGTGTCCAGTCTACAGACACATAGATGCCACCATGAAGCAAGTAAAAGGACCTTGTGATGGTCACACCTATACTACACTTTTTTTCCATTTTTGTGGGCCTTACCCTCATATATACATTAGCCTGCTCACGAATGGACACACCTTTGCTAGTAATAAATCATTTTTTAATGATTACTTTAGTCAAGAACCATTTTGTTATTAAGCTTGGAGCCAGCTAGCCCAGCTACAACCTTCATGCCCCCACAGTAAACTGAGTGGACAGCAGAAGTAGTCAAAACTGTGGACCTTTCTGTAACTTCACAAAGAAGGATGCACTTGTAGGCAGTTGGTGGCAGATGGAACCATGACAGTACAGACAATGCAGGTGGGGCAGCTTTCCATTGCCTACTCTAATTCTTATCAATGTCAATTGAAAGGAAAGGGGGGGGGCAAAGCTATTACCTTACCTAGGGCCCCATTCCAACTTATCCAACCATTGCTCAGCAGTTCCATGTACATGGAGTTCAAATGAAAACATCAGGGTTATCAGGTGGCACTGTCACTTTGCCCTGAATAGGCTAAGTGACAATGTCTCTTTAATCATGAGGTGGGCTGCATATGTATTTAAAACATACACTACATTGCCAAAAGTATTGGGACACCCCTCCAAATCATTGGATTCAGGTGTTCCAAACACCTTCATGGCCACAGATATATATAATCAAGCACCTAGGCATGCAGTCTGCTTCTACAAACATTTGTGAACTAATGGATCGTTATCAGGAACGCAGTGAATTCAAGCGTGGTACCGTGATAGATTGAAACCTGTGCACTAAGTCCATCCGTGAAATTTCCTTGCTACTAAATATCCCATGGTCAACTGTTAGTGGTATAAGAAAGTGGAAGCAACTGGGAACAACAGCAACTCAACCACGAAGTGGTAAGCCACGTAAAATGACAGAGCAGGGTCAGCGCATGCTGAAGCGCGCAGTGCACAGAAGTCACCAACTGTCTGCACAGTCAATAGCTAAAGACCTCCAAACTACATGTAGCCTTCAGATTAGCACAACAACAGTGTGCAGAGAGCTTCATGGAATGGGTTTCCAAGACTGAGCAGTTGCATCCAAGCCTTACATCACCAATTGCAATGCAAAGCATCGGATGCAGTGGTGTAAAGCACTGGACTCTAGAGCAGTGGAGACGTGTTCTCTGGAGTGATGAATCACGCTTCTCTGGCAATCCGATGGACGTGTCTGGGTTTGGAGGTTGCCAGGAGAATGGTACTTGCCTGACTACATTGTGCCAAGTATAAAATTTGGTGCACAAAGCAAGGTCCATAAAGACATGGATGAGCGAATTTGGGGTGGAGGAACTTGACTGAGTCCTGACCTCAATCCGATAGAACACCTTTGGAATGAGTTACTGAGGAGACTGCGAGCCAGGCCTTCTTGTTCAACATCAGTGCCTGACCTCTCATGAATGGTCAAACATTCCCATAGACACACTATGTGTGTAAGGCAGGTTATGTGTGTAAAGGCAGGCATCCCAATACTTTCGGCAATATAGTGTATATCTGTCTCACATGTATATATTCACAAAAAATAAGAACAAATATCTTTGTAAACAACACTCGTTAATAAGGTTATTTGTGTCAAACTAATCAGGGTTTTTCTTTTGATTACCACCAGGTCTGAGTAACATCAGTAGCTATACTAACTTAGTTACCAGCTGTGCAATGCTAAATGGAGCATAGAGTACTTATGATTAAAGGTTATGATCAAAATAAATTACCAAATCAGGGTCAAGTTGGCATTGTTAATTTTTACTCCATGTTGTACTCATATCAAACTACCCAGAAAGACTATAGTTTGATAACAAAAAGAGTCGATTTTTGGTTTATTGGTGACCTGTAGCTAATGCTAGCAACCCATGGCATGTAAGTTAGTAGCTCTTTCTAGAGTTTCTATTACAAAGGGATTATCCATGCATTTAGAATTTGAGTTTCAAGTTTCTTTTACCATTTACAAATGATAAGATACCCTCCAAATAAACCACTAACACATCTATTACCTTGGCCTTGCATTTTTATTGCACTATTGTTATGATGCAGCTAATCACTTTACATTGAAATCAAAATTCTTCAACAGATTACACCTGCTATGCTTAGTCTAGACTACTTGTTTTGTCTGTAATAACAGTCCACTGTTTTCTTTATGTGGAAAATAAAAATATGTGACCCTCATATCCACCAGAATTGCAAATGGTAAAGCAGTATTAAGACCAAAAACAAAAATGGATGTGGTGGCTGCTTTAGTTTACTTTTTGTAGACTTTTTTTCATATATTTCACCTGGTGATCCAGCCAGTAACACACTTCCTGTCTTAGGGTAGCAGCATTCTGAATGAAGTAGTAAAGCAGACAGTTTCGGATAGCAGCATTGTCAGTCTGGGGTAAGGTAACGTTAAACTAGTAGAATTACATGGACTTGACTAAAAAATTTAAGCTAAACTCCAGCTAACACTTTATAAGCAGATATAACAACAGTCTTTTTCCTTTGGGGATAAAGGTTTTAAATAAATGATAAAAGCTGATCATTGTAAGCATGCCTGTCACTGTTAAATAGTTTGCCTCAAACCCCTAGTTAACACTTCTACTGGGTAGCTTGGTTTGTTACAAGAAGGTGAAAAATAAGAGATGTATTGGCCGAATCACCAGGTATAATAAAAGGAAAAAAAAACCTAAAATGAAAACTAATGCAACCATCACATTTAAGAATTGGTGAGCAGTATTTAATACATTTTTGTTTTTGGGTTTAATGCTGCTTTAAATGTAATATACCGTATTTTTCGCTTCAAAAGACACACCTGACCATAAGACACACCTAGTTTTTAGAGGAGGAAAACAAGAAAAAAATATTCTGAACCAATGGACTGCATACATAGTACAGGAAATGACCAGAGACTGCGGACACAGTACAGGGGATGACCAGAGGCTGCAGACATAGTACAGGAGATGACCATAGACTGTGGATGTACTACAGTAGATGACCAGAGACTGCAGACATAGTACAGGAGATGACCGGAGACTGCAGACATAGTACAGGAGATGACCAGAGACTATAAACATAGTACAGGGATGACCAGAGACTGTGGACACAGTACAGGAGATGACCAGAGACTGCAGACATAGTACAGGAAATGACCAGAGACTGCGGACACAGTACAGGGGATGACCAGAGACTGCAGACACAGTACAGGAGATGACCAGAGACTGTGGATGTACAGTACAGTAGATGACCAGAGACTGCAGACATAGTACAGGAAATGACCAGGAGACTGCAGGACACAGTACAGGGGATGACCAGAGACTGCAGACATAGTACAGGAGATGACCAGAGACTGTGGACACAGTACAGTAGATGACCAGAGACTGCAGACATAGTACAGGAGATGACCGGAGACTGCAGACATAGTACAGGAGATGACCAGAGACTATAAACATAGTACAGGAGATGACCAGAGACTGCAGGACACAGTACAGGAGATGACCAGATACTGCAGATGTAGTACAGGAGATGACCAGAGACTGCAGACATAGTACAGGAGATAGTACAGTACAGGAGATGACCAGAGACTGCAGACACAGTACAGGAGATGACCAGAGACTGCGGATGTAGTACAGGAGATGACCAGAGACTGCGGACATAGTACAGTAGATGACCAGAGACTGCGGACACAGTACAGGGGATGACCAGAGACTGCGGACATAGTACAGGAGATGACCAGAGACTGCGGACATAGTACAGGAGATGACCAGAGACTGCGGACACAGTACAGGAGATGACCAGAGACTGCGGAAACACAGTACAGGGGATGACCAGAGACTGCAGACACAGTACAGGAGATGACCAGATACTGCAGATGTAGTACAGGAGATGACCAGAGACTAGACATAGTACAGTAGATGACCAGAGACTGCGGACACAGTACAGGATATGACCAGAGACTGCGGACACAGTACAGGAGATGACCAGAGACTGCAGACACAGTACAGGAGATGACCAGAGACTGTGGACACAGTACAGGAGATGACCAGAGACTGCAGACATAGTACAGGAGATGACCAGAGACTGCGGACATAGTACAGGAGATGACCAGAGACTGTGGACATAGTACAGGAGATGACCAGAGACTGCGGACATAGTACAGGAGATGACCAGAGACTGCGGACATAGTACAGGAGATGACCAGATACTGCAGATGTATTACAGGAGATGACCAGAGACTGCGGACACAGTACATGGTACCGCGGGTACATGAATTTGACAGGTACCCACTCCCACTGCGATCGCCTAGGAGATCGGAAGGGGAAGTTGTCCCCCCTCCCCGTAGTTTTCTGGGACACGTGACAGGTCCCAGAAGACTACAGGGCCATTCACAAAGTGCAGCAGCGCTTCTCACGCAGCTGTCACAGCCGGGTGCTGTCACAGCCGGGTGCCCACACTGAAGATGCTGGTGCCAGGCAGAGAAGACGGCTGAAGAAACCAGCGGTGGAGAGGACACCGCTGGACTGAGGAACAGGTAGGACCGAGGAGCAGGTTCTGCTGTACAGAAGAGGCGAGTGGCCATCCCGGTAATCTAATACGGCGGCGGCGATGGGGGGAATACAGGGCCGACTGCTCCATATTTTCTCCATAAGATGCACAGACATTTTTCCCCATTTTTTGGGGGGATTAAAGTGTGTCTTATGGAGCAAAAAATACGGTAAATGTTCATTTACAAACTATAAACAATGGCCTTGAATCAGCTGTGTTAACATTTAAGGTATGCTAAAAAGACTAACAACTTGCATTGAAATCCCAAGCAGCATTGTCAGTCCTGTCTGCTAGAATTCCAAACTCCTCCCATCCCCCACACTTCTGTGTCCAACTCTTTATTAACCTCCCTAGCGGTATTCCTGAGTGTAACTCGGGGTAGAGTTTCAGTACCAAAAGCGGCAACCCCGAGCTACACTCAGGCTTACCATGCAGCGTTGCATAGGGAGTTCCTGCAGCGTTTACCTTGTCCTTCGCTCCCGCGATGTGTCCCCTGCAGCATCCCTGGCCATCTCCTACGGCCGATGCCGGCATCCGGCTTCCATGTTCCGGTCCCTGTGACGTCGGGACGTATGGGTGCCAGAACCGGCGGCAAATTTGAAATTTTTAAAAAAATGTAGTTTTTTAAAAAATGATTATTACATAGTAAAACATTGCTGTTTCAAAACATTTCACTTACATTTTGTCCCTACTGCTTTGTCCTGTGCCCTGCCTGCATTTTGACTGTTCTTTCTGCCTGGAAACTTAGAAAAGTCCATGGCGTCCAAAAAGCGTCCCTTTATGTCAAAATCGGTTTTAGACCAGCTAGAGAACAGCGATAGTAAATCAGAACCACTTGCAGAATTAAGTGATAATGATTTGTGGGGAAATTCGTCATCAGACACTGAAAACGATTCTGCGACTTTGCTCAGCGATGTGCAAACTTGGCGCTATATTTCAAATTTCAGTGTTTTTGGTTTGATTATATTATTGAATTAAATTTATTATTATATTATTATTTTTTATGATTATTTATTAAATTATAATTTATGATTTTTGTGTTTCAAGTTTTTTCATATCCGGAATGTTTACTAGACTCTTGTTCGGTCAGATTTCAGTGAGTTATTCCTAAATTACAGGCCTGCAATAAAAAAAATACATATTTCCATGCAAAAAAATGGTACCGCTTTTAGCACCAAAAATCTGAAATAATCATACCGCTAGGGAGGTTAAATGGGCCATAGACAGTTCGAATCTCGACCAGTCCCTTCTGAACTGGCCGAGATTCGAATAATGTATGAGCAGTCTGAATGTAAACAAGTTGTTCAACCTTTCAACTTGGGTACAACCAGCCTGTCGGATTATACATGCGATTATTGCTAGCGGTTATTACAGCCTCTAGCAGTAATCACTATGTTCTCCCGGCAGGGACATCTTCTGCTGGGAGAACAAAATGGCTTCACGGGAGGGATTCCTCCTTTAACACTGACCTGTGGTTGCATTAAAGAAAATGGCTTTAATGCAACCACATCTATGGCTGGCTTTATTTTCTTTCTGGTCAAAACAATACTGCTGTTTTAGGTGTGTTTAGGGCAACAGCTCTTGGGAGATGTAGTTCTGGGGCATGCACACATCAGTAGGAACTGAGCTCCTAGAAGGTGCCCCTGCAAGGTACAAAAACTTAAGAAAACTCCAAACAAACACAATAAAAGAATCTGGGAATACAAATGCCTTAATCTGTCCAGAAATCCAATGAACTCCCTGAAGATTGAGGGTGGATTGGGGACACCTGATTTTTCTGAACATTTCCTCGCACTCCATCCATGACATTTAGCCTTGTGGGCCACTCTACCATTCTACAGAATGGAACAGAAGGAATGTACTGAAGAAACTATGGATAGCTCCAACGCTGAACTCAATACAAATACCCCAGTGCATTTTACTAAAAATCTCTGCTGCAAATTTCAAACTAAATTCTACCTTACCATCCCACAATCTCTGATGACCTCCTTCTTATTCACACCCCAGGTTCTAGACAGCCTCACCTCACAGACTGTTCAACCCTGGCAAAAAAATGCAATATTTAAATGTTGCAATTCAATGCATCACTGCACCAAAACTATACTCCCCTTCGATATACAAGAAATATACAAAATACTCCACACAGCAATCTACAGTTACCTGCAAATCCATCACTTCACCCACTCTCTCAACAAAGTTCTAATATTTTCTAACTTAACCGTTTCAATACCGGGCAATTTTACACCTTCCTGCCCAGGCCATTTTTCAGGTTTCAGCGCTCTCACACTTTGAATGACAATTGCGCGGTCATACAACATTGTACCCAAACTAAAATTTTATAATTTTCTTCACACAACTAGAGCTTTCTTTTGGTGGTATTTAATCACCACTGGGGTTTTTATTTTTTGCTAAATTAACAAAAAAAGACCAAAAATTTTGAAAAAAAAAAAACACATTTTTCTTTGTTTCTGTTATAAAAGTTTACAAATAAATAATTGTTCTTCATAAATTTAGGCCGAGATGTATTCTGCTACATGTCTTTGGTGAAAATAACCCAAATTAGGATGTATTTTTTAGTCTGTAGGAAAGTTATAGAGTTCACAAACTATGGTATAGATCTGAATATTGATCAATCCTGAAGTACTGACGGCCAATCTAATTTCTTGAGGTCCAAAAATGTCAGAACAGTACAGATATCCCCAAATGACCCCTTTTTGCAGAGTAGACAGTCCGACGTACTTCATAAGAGGCATGGCGAGTTTTTTGAAGTTGTATTTTTTTGTCATAATTTTTCGGAAAATGAAAAAATTTAAAAAATTATTTTCACTATTTTTTTTTTTTTTACATACTGTCACCAGTGCAGTACAGCATCATCATATAACTGGCATGGCGGTGAACAGGGACACTGCCTGGTGACAGTATGAAAAAAATATATATATATTTTTTTTTTTTTTTAATTTTTTTTATATTTAATTTTTTATTACATTTTTTTTATTTTTTTTAAGATTTTTTTTTCATATTTTACTATGACCAAAGTAGTACAATGTTACCATAGTAACATTGTACTACTTTGGGGAATTGATCAATATTTTTTTTTTTTTACACAATTTGCTTATGGCAAAGAATTACTTTGCTATAAGCAAGCATTTACCTGAATGAAATCGATTCATTCAGCTTTTTTTTTTTTTTTTTTTTTTTTTTTTTGCTTAGCTGTGATTTGGTCACAGCTAATCACATGACATGTGCATGTGATTAGCTGTGACCATTCACAGCTAGGCACTAGTATACAATGGATGGCATCATGAATGAAGCCATCCATTGTATACAACTGTCATGTGACCTGCTGTGATTGGTCACAGCAGGTCACATGGTACCAGCAACGGGAGCCGGTACTCGGATCTGTCATCGGCCGTGTCCGAGGTGCACGGCCGGTGACAGATCACACTGCTACTCCACTCTGCATTAGCGCAAACGGCGCATGTGCGGGAGCACGCCAAATGGCGTGCACCCGGAAAGCAGGGACACATTTGAAGCCGCCAAACGGCCATTGGCCGGGTGGCTAATGGTTAAACTGGAACTTTAGTCAGAACATTAAGTCACCCTAGATCACTTCAGGCTGGCCCCTTTTACAGTAATAGCTATGTAAAACATTAAAAATAAGTGCCTGCCTATACTGTTGAAAATCCAGTAATACACTGTCTCATCCTGCTCTGCACATGCTCAGTTGTCTCCATTTTATAGCACTGTGTCGAAAATGTAGAGGCCGATCTGCTAACAGCCTAAAGATTTACTGCTGCTCAGGATTTCTGGGCTTCAGCAAAATGGCAGCCTCCAGCGAAAAGAAACAGGAACAATTCTTGAGGCAATTTACAGCACACACTAATTTTGGTAGCATTTTTTTAAAATGTGGAATGTATGTTCCTTGAAAAAGCGCATTATTTTTTATCAGGTTGTTATAGGTTACCTGTCTTCATTAAGAAAATCAATTACCAAAACATCTACTGTATATATGAAATGATGGGAAATAGTATTGGGAAGAAAACTTCCGCTAGAAATGTGTAAGAGGACCTTTTGCATGGTGTATAGTCTTAGGTTCAGACCTTGCCGCACTTGAGCGGTGGTTGTGGGTGCAAGAAATCATATGTTCCTGCGCCTGCAACCACTCACAGCCAAATTGCACTGCTCTGTAGAGACGCGGGGAGCTGCCATTCTCAATGTCACCCCCACGCATCTCAACCCACAGTGGGTTTGCGGACGTGTTTAAAAAAAGGTGCATGTGCCTTTTTTTCTGCAGAAAACACAGGTACAGCAGCCCATTCAAATGAATGGGTTGCCATGTCCACACAAACGTGGGCTGCGCGCCCGCTAAGGTGTGAACCTAGGGCAATAAATGCTGTCAAAATGAAAAGGTAATGTATTTATGTAACAAACTGTTAAATCAAGGACAACATTGTATACATACATGACTGTGAATCTGTGTACTATATTGTTACAAATGTAGTAAAGATAATGAAATGTAAAATAACAATGAACAGTAAAAATAAGAAGAATTGTAAATAATTGTTAAAATGCCCTAATCCGCCAAGGAACAGAGGATTACTCCAATTACTCTGTATTGAAGTGAACCTACACCCTCAGTACATATTCTGTTTACACC